ATATTTATTTTACTTAAATAGTGTTCCCCAAAGTGTGAGAGTAATAATATTAACTTGTTACGTTTTATTACGAGTGTCATCATTAATCTCTCACTGGATATGTACAGGGGAACCATTGTATGTGATTATGCATAGAGTTAAATAGAGTGATAGCCACACATACGTAAGCGACGCTAGCCATAGCTTTTAGCATCCACTGGGCTCTTGAAACACATGGTAATAGAACTCTTCTACTTTGTGCTACTTGCTGAAAAGTGGGAGGAACAGAAAATAATTGCTGAAGAGATAGCGGATTCATCTCCTGATTAGGTCAGAGACTCTGCCGTTTTGACTGGCAGCCTCTGGGACATGCCCTGTGCTTGGGGAAAAATACATGGTTGCGTGTCAGTCCATGCTCACGCTCATAACAAACACCCTCTTAGCTCTGCAATTCAGGGTCCACGGCTTTAGAAATAAATAAATCCCGAAGGCAACCAAGTTGTGATTCCTGATAAGGAATAGGGCAAGTTATACAAGTCTTCCTTCTGAATCATGTTGGGCTCCTTGGTTGGCAAAGCTAAAAGAACATGGGGTGAATTTTGAGCAGAAAAGGACCCGGGGGGGTGGGGGAAGAAGAAGGAAATGAGCTCTATTGGAGGCTGTGCAGTCTGCTGTAAAGGAGTGGGCAGTCACTAGGGAAGCAGATGTAGAGCGAGGGAGGGGAAGAGTCGAGCATCTAATGTGTGATGGTGAGGGACCGTGAAAGTTACACCTGGGTTCAGATCCTGGCTCTCCCCCATTGGCTTGGTCACGCTAGGTAAATGGTTTGACTTTCTCCCTTTCTAGTTTCTTCACAGAAAAAAATGAGAAAAATACCTCCTACCTGACAAGTCAGTTGTGAGGATCAAGTGAGGTGATGTCGAGAAACGCATGATTTTATTATACGTGAGTGCATGTGTTTGAATAAGTGCCTGTTCATGTGTGTGAGGGTGTATGTGGGTGAAGTTAGTGTGTGGTTGGTGCATGTGGGGGGACAGAGGTCAACTCTGGGTTTCATTGAGTGTTTTGTGCTTTATGTTTTGAGAAATTATGTTTCACTGACCTGGAGCTCATCACGTAAGTCTAGCCTGGTTGCCGGTGAACCCCAGGGATCTGTCTGTCTGCACCTCCTCCTAGTGCTGAGGCTACATGGCTGCAGTTTTGTTCCTGGCCTCGTTTTGTGGGTTCTTGGAATTAAATTCAGGCCTCCATACATTTTAGTGAATGTGCTGTCCCTTCAGCCAGCAACAACATTTTTGTATATGCAAAGCATTCGAAGAATTTAAAGAGGTTGTTGGGATTTTTCTCCTCTTAAGTCATGCCTTTTCAGCTTGGGAGTAGTTTGGAGCAGGTGTTTGCCTCCGGTTATATAGACAGCAGGCTGCCACTTTTCTCCTGGGATAGCTCGTGCTCCTGGACAGAAGCAATCCTGTTTCTTTTGTACTTGATTTAGAAAGTGAATTTAAAATTTCTGCAAACACTGTGTTCTTCTATCCTGCCTTTATCCAACACAAATGGCTCCCCAGTGCTCACAACAGAACAAAGAGTTGACAGGATTTCAGCAAATAGCTCGGAAGGAAAGATACAGGAGCTGCTGGCCACAGCCCTCCATGTTGGTTATTCAGAAAGACGGTAAGCTGGTATAGAAGGATCTTCAGGATTAGCATCCAATGGATATGGGCTTGGGTCACTGATATCTGTTTGTGAACTGTGATCTTAGGCCAATGTGCTGATTAGTTTGATGTCAACTCGATACAGGTTAGAGTCATTTGGGAAGAGGGAACCTCAACTGAGAAATGTTCCCAGACTGGCCTGTGAGCAAGACTGTGGAACGTTTTCCTGACTGATGGTTGATTTGGGAGGACCCAGCTCAGTGTGGGTGGTACCATGCCTGGGCTCGTGGTCCTGGCTGCTATATGTAAGAAAGCAGGCCAAGTAAGCCATGAGGAGCAAGCCAGGAAGTAGCACTCCTCCATGGCTTCTGTTCCAGTTCCTGCCTCTAGCTTCCTGCTCAAGAAACTCAAGGTTTCTGCCTCAACAATGGACTAAGAAGTGGAACTGTAAGTTGAAACAAACTCTTTCTTCCCCAAGTTGCTTTTGGCCATGGCTTTTTTTTTTATCACGGCAGTAGAAAACCTAAATAAGACAATCACTTACCTTTCATAATCATAAATAAACCATCTTGAAAACTGAATTAACAACATGCAAAAAGATTGTTAAAACTCAGAAGGATAGCATGCAGGAGCCTCATGGATACTCAGCCAATATTTCTTTGTTGTTTTGCATATGTTTGAGTCTGTAGATGCCACTTTGATTTCTTGGGTGGTCAAGGTAACTTAAGTGGCCTGAGACCTAGACATTTTAACTTATTGTTCCTCTGTTTGCAACATTGTGATAACAATATGGTCATCACCCCAGTAGAAGCAAGAAAACTCCAGAATCCTTAGCATATTTGGTTTTGGTTTACCAGATAGTTAGTACTTGGGTACTGACTCTTAAGGCTCAGGTTACATTGAACTTGCTTTCTTGCCAAGGATGACCTTGCACTTCTTATCCCTGCCGCCCCACTTCCCCAAGTGCCGGGATTACAGGCATATACTACCACACTCAGTTTATCTAGTGGGTGCTGAGGATTGAAGCCAGGATTCACACATGCTACATAGGTCCTCTGCTAACTGAACCATATCCCCAGCCCAGTACATGAACACTTCTATGGAGGCTTAACTATAAACACAAGGGCTTGGGCACATTGGGAGTCTTATGCATGCTTTGCAAAGGCTCAGGTGAGGAGGACTAATGTTTCGTCCCGTTCAGGGCACAAGGAGTGGTAACATCTGCATGAATAGTCTCCTTGTTCTTACAGAATGGGGCTCAGTCTGCACACTGTGTCCAAACCCTCTAATTCTTTCTCCACCCCCCTCCTTTCTGAATCTTGAGGACAGACATTATTGCAAATGAATCAGAAGGTAGTAGAGATCTCTCTCAGCTTATTCTTTCATTTTTTTAAACTTTCCATCTGAATATTCAAATTTTGCTAAGAAGGAGCTGCCCCCTCTGACCAGGCAGAAGAACCCCTACCCCCAACTATTTCTCATGATCTTTGACCTGGGCTTGGGAAGCTTAGATTTTCCAAAGGTAGTGTTCTGATCCGAGTGTCTGTCTCTGTCCCTAGTCTTTGGGTGGCAGTGATTTATGAAATCTGGCAGCTGAGATGTGACTTCTAATCATGTACGAGTTTCCTCTGATCTTTCAGTCTTCTGGGGCCACCACTTGGAAATAAGTCAGTCAGTGTGAGTGGAACAGCAGTTGGGTGAATCTCTAGAGAAGAGAGAAAACGGTGGTGCTGAGCCACTGTGGTTGTTGGATCAGAGAGTTTGGACCAAGGGGGTTGTGAACTCTGACTTCAGGATGCTGTGAGGACTGAAGGTGTCAGTATCTATAAAGTACTCAGAATGGCACCTAACTAATCATATTACATATGATTCCATTGTATGAAAAGTCTGGAAGAGGCAAATAGGTGAAAACAGCAACAACACAAAATGACTGTTGATTTCTCCTAGGGCTGGGGGTGGTGAGGAGATCAAAGAGTAAGAAGTGAAGGGTGTTGGATTTTTATAGGGGCATAAAGAAGTACTTAAATGATTAGGGTGACGGTTTTCTGGTTCTGCATTACTAAAGAACATTACTTTTTTTAATGAGTGAGTTTCATGGTGTGTGAATTTTGTCTCTGTTTATTCTATTTTTTCTCTTTCAATCTGTCAATAACCTATCATCTCTATCACCTATCTCTATTATTCATCAATCATATATCATGACTATTATCTATTATCTGTCAATCATCTATCCTGTCTGTCTTTCTTTACCTATCTACTGTCTATCTGCACTATCTGTCTTTACCTATCTACTGTCTATCTGCACTATCTGTCTATCAACTGTCTTCTATCTGTCTCTGGTCACCATTACTGTCATGCTAGTCCATCAACTGGCACCTGTTCCATGGACCATGCATTGAAGTGGTCCCTTGACCGGTTGACCCAACTCTACAACTGCTTCTCCTCCATTCATCTGTCACAGAGCATCGTAGTGTCCCTCCAAAGTAAAACAGACCATGGAATCCAAGCCCATGCCATTGCCTCCCCATCATATTCAGTCTTAGGAGGAAAACATCTTCACCTCAGTCTTAGGAGGAAAACATCTTCACCTGACTACCAGGCCCTGTGCCATCCAATCCTGGTGGCTTCAATCACAGTCATCACTTTCATTTGCTCTATTCCAACACTTCAGCTTCCTTTCAGACCATCTCAAGACTTCTGCTTACTGTTAATTCTTCCTAGATTAGAGCCCACGCCTAATGGTTAGTGGCTTTATATCATCTGGGACTTAATTCCATACCATACCAGCTAAATTTCTCTTGCCCAACCCTATTTAAAATTGACTCTTCCTTTGTCAACCACTTGCTACTCATTTTTAATAGCATTTACCACTATTTGAATTTATGTTGTAGTTTACCAATTCATTTGCTCATGGGAAGTCTATTCCACTAGGGTGCAAGTGCTCTGTGAGACCAAGGAGTTTATCTAGTTTGTCACTGCTTTCCTAGACTGGGTCAGTCTTAACTCAGTGTTTGTGAGTGTTGTAAGTGTCTGAGTGAAGTCCCCGCATTGACTGTGGATGCAGAGACACAAACCCTTGCACATCCATTTCCTACAAATGCTTCCTACATCTGTATCAAATCATTTGAAGATGTCATATGCCTGAATTTAAACTTTTAGGAAAAGTAATTTGGAGAGGCTTCCATTCAGTAACATCTATTGTGTTTTCAAGAGCGAGCAATCAAGTGATAACCACTAGTTGATCTGTGCACGAAAGTCTTTGGAAGCACGGAAAGAATTTTAGGATCAACCATTCCTGTGTGGTTATTTTGGTGACCTAGAGCAAAGGTCTGATAGATGACGTGGGCTGTTGTGGTTAGGTTTACTTACAGTGCGGACTTTCTCGGGCCCCTGCCCGCAGAAGAATCCTAGCAATGGGTACGTTGTTGGTCATGATGGCAATGTCCAGGGGTGTCAGTCCCTCGCTGTTTGGCGTGTTCAGATCTAGTTCTTCCGGTGTGTACTGGTGGAGGAGGAGCTGCACGGCGTCTAGGTCCTGCTGCTCCACAGCCTCAAACATGGCTTCATTGCCCTGGAAATTCTGGAGAAAAGGAAAAGCAGGTTGGTACAATGTTACAGCCAATACCTCAGGACTTTAGAGATTGTCCTAGGGGGTCACTGGAACACTTACAAGTGGGTGATTACAGAGCTACCCTTTATCATGTGATCCTCAAAGTCAGCTCTCTGTTGGCCTGTCCCTCCATGTTTCCTAATAGGTGTTGAGCAGACACACTTAGATGGACGGGATGATACAGTACTCTGCTGTGTGACCCCGTCTAGGGCAGTGAAAAAATCAACTCCCTGCAGCCAGTCCGCTGCTGAAGGGATATACTGTTTGCTAGGCTATTAAAAGATGTTCTTAAGTGCTGGATTAAGTCCGTACTCCTTCGTTTTCTGTGGCACCACCTCTCAGGGCCTTTAATCACATTAATGTGTGATTTAGAATAAAATATTACTGTATTTCATTTTACCTTTGGGGTAACATTCTGCAGAATGCAGCCGGGTGAATGCTGGCATAGACAGTGTGGGAACAAGTGGTTTTAATTATGACTACTCTGTATAGATAGCGCATGTTCTGTATTTCTCTTGACTCCTCCTTCCTTCTCCACTCTCAGATGTTATTGCCCGTCCTCTTGACTGCTGGTCTAGGCGTCACCAGCCCAGACGCTACCCCGTCTCTTGTCGTTTCCCTACACCACCCATAGGCTGCTGATGCCCATAACCTCCAGTCTACTCTATTTAAGGTTAATTATTACCATCGGTCTCACTGAGCTAAGAAATGCTCAGATGATTATTTGACAAGACCTCTGGGTGTGTTGTTGAGGATGCGCTCCAGTTTGATCTCAAGAATTGTGATGCAGTCTTAATCTGCATTAAGTAACGCTTAATATGGAAGCGTTACTGAGAGGCAGTGAAAGGAAAAAGGGACCACGTTGCAAGAATTAGGTCACTGGGTACACGCCACCGGGCATTTGTCTTGCCTAGGTCTCTTCATGGACACCTCTTCCTTCTACTTCCGTGTAGGAAGGACTGAAGAAGAACTTCCATACATTCCTATCCTGAAGCTCTGCCAAGTGCATGAGGCCAAGCGGTCATGGACTTTAATCCATAACCCCGGATAAACCCTTACTCCCTTAGGCTGGCAGGAGTTTTTGTCACAGGCATAATAAAACTTACTAATACCCTGGCCACTATGATCCCACAGCCTCTTAGCCCAGACCCTCCAACCATTATACACGTAGCACTTTTGAGCTGAAGGGAGAGGTTGAAGTGGTTTTCCCAGGAGGGCTACAGTGCTAAGCGGATAATTGTTTAAGAGGGCCAGCAGTTGAATATTTATAAAATACAAATCATCTCTAGAAAAAAATTGCATAGATAATATAACTCTTTGGGGAAAGTTTCATGTGTGGGACTTCTCACAAAGACTGTGACAGAAGAGATAAAGGCATAGCCTATCCCTATGTTGTCTTAAGGATTGCTTTGATTTTAGAGATAGTGGGACGCCGTTGGCCTTGACCTAGTGCTGGGAACTGATTAATTTGTAGAAGGTCTTTGGTGATCACATGTATAGGCAGGAAGATTTTATTTTTAGTCTCCTCAAAAACTGGTTTTCCCTCTCCAAGGCTTGCCAGTCAGCCTAGGCTGAGCGCAGACCCCAGCATAGGAACCTGGGGACAATAGCAGGCGATTATGAAAGTGCTTGTTTTGACAATAGGGACCCAGAGGAGAAGGCTATTTCCGTGTGCTGCTCTCCTGCAGGAAGACACTGTACTGAATAGAGAAGTGGCTGTTCTGCAGTCTGCCAAACTGAAGGGCATCTGATGCTTAGGTCTTAACCTAACCCCAGCTAAGCCCTCCCGGAAGCTGGGTGTGAAATAGGAAACCGTATTAGAAAACAAATGAATTCAAAACCAAAGCCTTGCCCTGTCTCCAGTGTGCATTTGCTTATGATTATTAGTGTCTCTAGTTTCTTGCCCACCATATTTACTATCTCTTAGTGTTTAGATTAATAAATATCTAAGTTATTTCCTCCTTCGAACTCTAACTTTGCTTCTATCTGGGAAGGCCAGGACTTACTTCTGCCTTAATCTCAAATAGAGCTCTTACCTCCCCGCAGAAGTGCTTTCGTTGATCCTGTGAATATGTGGCTGCTGTTTGACCCACAGCCAGTGCCGAAGACTACCGAGAACATCTGCAATATACTCTGTCTGCCGCTGGCTATAGCCTAATTGCCATGACATCTAAACAGGCCACACAGTTTAGCAACAGGAAGATGTTCATTTTCCCTGATGGACTGATACACTTTTAGTTATCAACTTATGGGAGGTCACACCCGATTGTCTTTCCAGCTTTGACTGCCTGGGGACTCAAAGGTGAACGTAATGCTATATTTCATGGAGTATGTTTGCCTAAAGTTTTGGTATATATGTTTGTTTATCCATCTATTTTCTTTTGCTGGCTTTTTCTGTCTTCTTTCTATTATGTAATAAATAGAATTCTAGTCCTGGATTCTATTTTGAATGCCTTTGAAATGTATGTGAAATACCTATAAATGATTTTAATTCTATTATTTAAATGAGCACTGGTACTTCCAGGAAGTATATTTAATCTGAAACATTTGGTATTTGCCAAACTGTGTGTGTGTGTGTTGTTGGGGGCCTGAGGATTGAACCCAGGACCTTGTACATCCATCCTAGGCAAGCAATCTATCCCCAAGTCCACAGCTCTATCCCCTCAAGCTGCTTATTTTGGAGATTTCTTCACTTGATCTGGTAGTGAAGAATAATTAGGGAAAGAAATTAAAAAAAAGAGGGGGGGGATGTCTTCCATTCATCCAAACTTAATGTAACATCGTACATATGTATGGTATGTATAGTTCCTGTCTTGATGGACTTAGGTGTAAAACGGAAGCATTCATTAAATTGTTGAACGATGAATTGACATGGGAATAGGAAGAGTTCCATTACCACTGAGGTCTTTCTGAGACTCAGCCGATCCGTTCTGGTTTTAAAATAGGCCTCATCAAAGGATGAGTGGCTGCCCTTCAGCTTCTCCGAGAGGTTCCTGTACAGGCGCTTGGCAGCATTGGGAGACGCCGGAGCGCTGTGTTTCTTTGACTGAGAAAGATGTAAGCTCTGCATTTGTTGGGTCATTTTCGAGCGGCAGTTCCTAAGCAGAGGAAAACAGCATGCATGATGATTACACACAATGCAATTACACACAACAAAGAATTCTATCACCTCCAGGAACCATCTGGAAATCTCAGATCCAAATGTGATATTCCGGCTGGGAAGGCCCGCAGAGATCACCAACCCCAGCTTCTTCCTGCTGTGGAGAAGAAAATGGAAATCCAAGGGAAGGAAGCGGCTTCTCTAGGGCCCCAGAGCTGACTGGTGGCAGGAATGAAATGACAGTCCCATTTATTATATGAAATATCCGTTTACACATGAACACTTAAAAACCGTGGACTCTTACTCAGTTAGGAAAATATCCCAGTGCCGTATCTAGGGGATATGTGTAATCTTGGGTATATATAATCGAGACTATTTTTTTTAACTTCCTTCCTTCTAGATGCTGACCTCTATTGACTGGATAAGTGCGGCAGGAAGTGGTGGTACACGCCCTTAAGCCCAGCAGGCAGCAGGCAAGGAGGCAGAGGCAGGTGGATCTCTATGAGTTTGAGGCTAGGCTATAGAGTGAGTACCAGGACAGCCAGGACTGTTACACAGAGAAACCCTGTCTCTAAAAACCAAACCAGACCAGACCAGACCAAACACACACATTTTGATTGTCTTCAAAGCAGTAGAATGGTTTGGTGATTTATCCTCTTTCTCCTTCAATTTACGGATTCTTTATCTTTGACTCAATAGCAATTACATGGTTTTCTTTAACACTTCTTTCCACAAAGTTCCAGATTCTAGGCTATCACGTGGGGATTGCTCTAACCTCTTTATTTCTGCCTTCTGTCTCTAGACTTTTCCTTCAGCATTGACACCCCAGTTCAAGCCATCTGTCTTGCCTGCACTATCATCCTTCCCCAAATTAACTCTACATTCTTTTGTAGCTCCCACAAGGCCCAGGAGTCCTGTAAAGAAATTCTTGTCGTTTGATCGAATTCCATCTACTTGCCCTCTAACTGATGACACCTACCCGCCCGGCCCCTTTGTCCTTGCGTATCTTCCATCTGTCCCCTTCTGTCAAAGGAGGTTGACTTTCTTTGCCTCTCTGACTTCCTCCCCGTGCTCCCCAGCTGTCCCTCTCTTCCAGGCTATTCATCACCGTGCTTCCCATCTTCTAGCTCTCATCTATCTTTGTTTTCTTTTTCCCTCATGCTTTACATTTGCTCAGATGAGAGAGAATGAGAAAGGCAATTTTCTGTTGTCTGTCCGTATAAACATGAATATCTCCACCAACTCACCATGCTCTTGGCATTTCACTCTTAAGGAAAGGGGCAAGCGTTGGAACTGGATAGACTCCTGTTTGACTCCTGATATTGCTATTTACAGTGTAATGTGGCTTTGGGTGCCTTATTTAAATTCTATAATCTTATTTATCATATGTAAATAGACAATCTAATATTGGGTTAAGAGTTATGAAGAATAAATTGATGAAGAAATGGCCCTAGTTATCTCTTTTGGTTCACTCTAACCTGGCAATAAATAGCAGCAACTATTAAGTTACCCCAAGTCTTTATGCAAAACTGGACACCAGGATACAGCATCATCATTCACCTTTCTTACAGGCTTTAAACATGGACTAATTTTATGTACTTTGTTTTTTTTTATTTTAATAGAAAAATGAAAATATAGCTATTTCATTTTGGATTTTCATAGTAACTTATGCTAACGTAGAAATAGAAGGTAGGATGTTCAGCTCTTAGAAGGGAAGGTAGAATAAAGATAAATCTAAAAGCGCTGAAAAATTTGGCAAAACAGGATTGCTTATTTAAGATGGACAGCTGAATTCAGTACACATATCAAGCTTTTTTCTCATTTCTTTTGCCCCAATCTCCTCTTTCCTAGCTTCTAATAGCCTTGAGAATCAACACTCATGAAAACAAAAGAGCATGTAGACAGCCAGCCACTGAAGAGGGCCCAGAAGGTTGGTGGTCCTCTACCAGTCCATTTCCACCCCCTTAGAAGTATTATTTGATCTTCCTACTAGATCCCTAGGAGAGCCTCTTGGAATGTTTGTCATTTTTGCTTGACTGCAGCCCCCCAAGAGCAATCAGCCTCTTCCTCTAGAGTATTTGTTTTTGTGGTGCTTGTTTAGCAGACATCAGCGTTTTCAAACAAGTCTTTTAAATTGCTCTGAACTTAGGGAATGAGATGGTTTGGAAATGAAGGGCCTTGAAAAGCTCTGACATAATACGGAGTCTAGCAGAACATGTTCATGCCTAGGAATGGGAGGCTCTGTGCGAGAAGGAAATGAAGGCTAAGGTTGAGTTGCCACTACCTAGTGGAATGTTGGTCGCGTGCCCTAACATACCCAGAGCCCCTTCACGGGATGGAGGCTCACTAATTCTAGGCATTTAAAGATACCTCTGTTCAGCCATTTACTTGGTGAGTCAAGCAGGATTGTCAGTGGCTGTATAGTTCAGAAATACAGCCATCAAAGACTGAAGGTCTAAAACATCACCAAATAACAACAAATGCTGGGGAGAAGGGAAAATCTGGTTTTCCTAGTTGTTATATTGTTATCAAAACACCTGCCTTTCAACAGAAAATTGCGAGACAGAACTCAGATCACAGCCAAGAAAATAAACAGGTCAATCAAAATTGCCCTCAAGGCAGGCAAATGTTGCCATCATTGTACAATACCTTCAACTGTCGTGTGTTTGAAGAGCTAAGAGAAATCAGATCTAAAGAGTCAACTGAAAGTGAGATCTCACTAAGTCAGAACATTAATAAAGCGATAGACTGTGAAGTAGTTCTACAATTGGAGGAAAGTCTAACAAACGAAATAAAAACTCACTGGAGTGGCCAACAGCATAATTGTTTGGACAGAAACAGAAACAATGTTTCAAAAGAAATCAACTCAGATTAAGGAGAAGAGGCACTACATGGTCACCTTGGTCAATGCAAGAAAATGACCAGATTTAATAATATTCCAAAACAAATTGGGGTTGAAGAGAACTTTCAGGAATATAAGGGAATTTCTTCAACCTGAGAGAATGAATAAAAACTAGGTTAAATTTTGCTTTTGAAATGTCTGCACAGGAGCATGTTTTGGACATGTGTTCCCAAGTCAGTGGCACTATTTTGAATGGCTGTGGAGCCTAGCCGGTGGAAGTGTGAAGGTTACGTCAAGCCTGTCCTGTCTCTCTGTTGTGAGGCCTGCTGTGAGGAAGAAACTTCTGCCACACACTCCTGCTACCATGAACTTTCCCATAGTGACAGACTGAGGCCCTCAGGACCTATGAGCCTATAATTCTGCTTCTCAGTTCAGTCAGGTCCTGTGGTCAGAGTAATTAATACAAAACTAGGTTTAACATCACACTTAGTGACCAAATGCAGGCTTGATCAAAATACCAGCTGAAGGGCAATTTCGCCACACTTTTAGAGAGAAGCAAGGATTCTAAAGAGGCCAAAGCAATCCCGACAAAGGAAAACTGGAGGGCTTCTATTTCCTGGTCTTTACTCTCACTATAACACCACAGAGGTGAAGGCACGCAGGGTCAGTTTTAGAATCGCCACGTAGATAACGACAATAGAGTAAAGAGAGCATCATGAATAAAGTAGAACTGAGGCCCCACAAATGATCTGAACACACAGGGTTAATTGCTTTTGGAAAATGCACTGTAGTAATTAGTTGGGAACCCAGTCTCTTACCAGGGCTGTAACCCCGAAAGAATCATCCGTAAGAACCGAAAGGAACTCCGACCCCTACTTCACACCATGTACAAAAGCTATCTGGAAATAAATCATACATCTTTTTATTGTAGGCGACTCTGTGTGGTGTTGGTGTGTATGTGTGTTGGTTCATGTGTGTTTGTGCAGGCCTGAGACCGATTGAAGATTCTTTCTCTATCACTATTGGATAGAGCAGGAATTCCTACTTGAACCTGGAACTTGAGGTTCTGGCTAGTCCAGTTAACCAGTTGGCTCCAGGGATTCCCCCATTACAGCTTTCCCTGTGCTGGAACTACAGGTGGGTCACCAAGCTCACCTCATATTCACATGGATTCTTGGCATCTAAACTTTGTTCCTTATGCTTCTAGAGCAAGGGCTGTACCAGCTGATCCAGCTTCCCAGCCCCTGATAAACCAGAGATCCCAATGTAGGTGCTAAGACCATACATATTATAGATAAAAACACAGATGATTTTGTGAATTTGGACAGAATAATGTTTCTTAGAGGAAACACTAAAAATGGAAGTCACAAAATGATCCACAAGTAGGGCTCATAGAAAACTGCCGTTGTAAGATCTTAGTACTACAGCGTCATCTTTCTCCATTTTGGAGACCTCTGAAAGAGAAGTGAGTACACGTAGACCCGAGGTGAATCACAAGAGTGAAGATCTTACAATGAGAGTAGCAGAGAGGAACCTCCTCAGACTCCCTAGCTACCTGCCCCCCGCCCCCTGGTCTGCTACTACTTTACACATCTGTGGCTCTTCTACCTAACACCCTTCCTAAGGTGGTGGTGCTCACCATGCTTGTTCTTCGTTGCGTCAATCCTGATTCATGGATACTGTCTAGAACTGAGAAAATTAGACCAATGAGAAATGAGACAGGCACTCCTCAGCAGATAGATAGTTCATCTCTCTTTCCTTTCACCAACTGCCCTGGGGACTTCCTGTGGGCCGTAGTGTGCTGGTTGGAAGGAGGGCAGCCCCCCCCCCACTAGGCTCTTGTGTTTGAATAAGGGTGTTTTTCTTGCATATATGCACCACGTGCATGCCTGATGCCCATAGAGACTAGAAGAGGGCATAAGAAACCCTGAAACTGAAATTACAGCCAGTATGAACTACCAAGTGGGTGCTGGGAATGGAACCTGAGCCCTCTAAAAGAGCAAGCCTGTGCTCTTAACCTCGGAGCAATCTTTCTAAGTCCCCGAATGAGGTTTCTTCCCATGAAGCTCTGAGTATGTTAAGCACAATCCCAGCTCTATTTATTTTTCTTCATTTCTGGTATGTTTCCCTTTTGCCTTTGGCTTTGATGACATGAA